AAATCCCCCATCTGCCCTTCCCGTGGTGGCTGGTCAGCCCTTGGACTTCAGAAGGCAATAAAATGAGGACTCCTCATTGGTGTCCATGGTGGCTGTGACTGTCAAAGGAGCTGCTTAGCATAGCTGCCTCATCTTGGTGCTGCTATGAAAACTCACAAACATTAAAACCACTGGCAAGCCAGGCTGAGAATGTTCTTAACACTCTTTTCAGAATTCCTGCTTCTCAGATGGGAGACCCCCTTGACACCTTTTCAAAGGAAGTTTCAGATAACAACCCCTGAAGTGCTAGAATGACTCCAAACACACTCTATGTACATGCAAAAAGACTCTCTAATGCAAAATTACATTTGTGCAACAATAAGAAAAGAGACAGTACTAGGCTGATATCCTGCAAAGGAGGGGGTAAAAGTGAAGACACAGGCAGGTCTGTAAGCAAAAAATTGTGGCCAGGGCTGAGAGGCCCTCGAGCTGAGACTGGCTCAAGTGGTAGAGCACCTACCTAGCAAACATTAGACCTGGGGTTCAAGTCCCATCAAAAAAAAAAATTGTGGCTAAACTTTCTGTCTTTAAATTTAATAGCTAGTTCATAATGATTTAGTTATTTGTTTAAAATATATTTTATTGAACAAGGTACAAAATGCATGGCGTGATCTTGACTATTTTTGAATACAAATACAGATTATCTGAAATGCTTGGGACCAGAAGTGTTTCAGATTTTGGGTGTTTTTCAACTTTTGGAATATCTGCATATACTCATGCGTAATGAGATATTGGGGGATTGGACCCCAGTCTAAGCATGAAACTGATTTACGTCACATAGTCACTTTATACCCATAGTCTAAAGGCAATGTTATACAGTATGTTAATGCATCTGTGTTTTGACTGTGCCGGGACAGTAACGCTGGGTGTGGAATTTTCTACTTGTGGTATCAAGGGAATCTCAAAGCTTTTGAATTTTGGAGCATTTTGAATTTTGGATTTTCTGATTAGAAGAAAAGGGCCATTGCTCTGATGAATAACAGATGAGTGTTTCTCTTCTGTACATCCCAAATTTTCTAAAACGAGCACATATTTAGTAGGTTAAAATTATACTTCCAAAGGCATTTTATACTCAACTTGATCAAGTGACATTGCTACCATCATTTTATGAGCGTAAATTAATCATACAAAGAGGTTTCATTGTGATATTTCCATACATGCATATAATGTACTTTGATCAAATTCACCCCAGGCTATAATCTGTCAATAGATTTAACTAAGGCAAAGCAACCCCAGGTGAGTGGAAGTAAACATCTAGCAAAAGGAAAAAAAGAAAGGAAAGAGAAAGAGGCTTTCTCCTTACCAGGCGGCTCCTCTACAAACAGTAGCCTTCAAACAAAACCACGATCCTACAGTATCGCAATAGTGGGAGGGGGGATGTGCACGCTTCACAGGCTTAGCAGCCTGGGGCCTCAGCTTTGCATCTCAGGACGCAGTTCTATCAAAGCAGGTATGCAAGATAGTTTAGTGAGGGAAGAACTTTGACAGGCTGTATTCATGGAGGCAGAAACCACAGGTATGTGGTCTGAATCTCACCCACTTAGGAGCAGTTCACGCCTCCAGGAGGTGTCTGTCCTCAGCATGGATTTCTTCAAATCAGTGGCTAAACAAGGCCACCCTTCTCCCAGTGACCAGGACACTGAGTAATGGGTCCTCTGCCTAAGACCTCAAGCACAGCAAATTTAGGCCATGGTGAAAGATCTGGTCTGGTCTGATGAGTTTAAACTGGGTCCAGGTCTCAGGGGAACTCAGAGTCCAGGGAGGCATGGAGGGAGCCAGAAGCACTGGCCAGGCACTTGTGGCTTGAAGCCACCTTCTGGAACTGGAGACACAGAGTCTACTTCTAGACTCTAGCTACTTTAGCCAGCAAATGCATTATGGACCACCTACTATGTACCAGGCAAAACATCTGGGTTAGAATGGAACCTAAAACCTAGTGTCTGACCTAAAAAAATGTTCTTCATGAAGACAAAGATTCTAAAGAAAACTGCCTGACAAGACCCACTTCTGCTAAACCCTCAGTGGTGTAACTGATGGCCAAGTACTCAAGTTGACAAACTACCCAAGCTTATGAATGAGAAAAGTACAAGACAATGGACCCCAGATTAGAATCAGAGGGACAGACAACCAGTCCCCTGCCAGCTGTCTTTTATTCTTTCTGTTCCTCTGCACACCCTCCAGCCACCAAAGAAGCCTGGAGGTCATTTCTTTCACAATACTATTTTTTCTGTCTTACATATAGGTATCTATCCTGCCACAGGCCACCCAATTTTTAGTAACACAAACTGTGTCATGCTGTGGTCCCTTCTGTCAGTCCCAGGCTGATGTGCACAGACTAAAACTACAGAAGCAGGCTAAAGGGTTGCCTACCCTTGCTCTAAGACCTTTCAGAGGTGCAAAGGTAGTGTAACGTTTGAAATTCAAAGCAGTAGAAAGATTTAGCATCAGCTGTCATCAACACTGGACGTTAACAAAATGAACCCTCCCAAAGAAAAAGATGTTTAATATGAATTTCAAAGCATATTTTATGCCTCATGTAATAATAAACTATTGAAATAGAGTTTTTGCCAAAATATAAGTATATATAAATTTCAAATAAGGAAGCCCTTTCAATTGAACTAATGAAAGTAATTTTTTTTTTTTTTTTTGCTGTGATTTGGGAAAAGGAAAGCAGACTCCAAGATGTGAATTATAAACAAATGCCACTTCTTGGGAGGAAAGGAAAGCAAAGGGCAGGGCAGGACCAGACTTGTGACCAGCACAGGCTTCTAAAAGGTTCTGTCTTGTTTCCAAAAGGCTAGGCTGAAAAGAGCTAATGCCACTTCCAAGTCAAAAGTCTGCTGGAGTCAGAATCTTAGCAAAACGCCAATTAATTACAAGTTGAAAGTTTCTGGGATCTTTAACTACAAAATTACTTCCCACAGGACACCATGAAATGGAATTTCACTGGACCATTCTCAGGTACAGAGAAGCCAAACTGCTTTCCTGCTCGAGGCTGTCACTCACTCCTGTTCAAGGCATTTCTGTAGACAATTACCTGGTATGCAAGGTCCCAGCAAAACTTGAATAGGCCTGAACACATCTCAGGAGTCTAGATCAAATCATAAGGCCCTTTGTTTAAACTGCTTGGGTTCCTTTATATCGGCACTACCTTGTCCTCTAAGCCCTCTGGGGAGAGACAAGCCTGGTCTCCAGGGGCTTATGGAGCCGGGCACTCCAAGATGCCTGTCTATCTGGTCCTGTCCACACCACCACCACCACCACCGCCTGGATACCAGAATGCCAACAAGGTCCATTTTTAAATTCCCTCTGAGGTTTCACAACCACAGGTTTGGGTGAGGAGACAAATACCGGCTCTAGTTTGCTGACATTAAACTAAAAATAACCAGCTGCAAACAAAAGCCATCTTTTACAGAGCTGGCTCGGATGTCCTAAGGTTCCATGTGGTAGTGTCGGTTGGGCCAGATTCCTGCCAGTGCTGGGCCTTAACAGCTGCTCCAGGCCCAGCAGAGGAGGCAGTCTGTCCCCGTGCTGTCAAGGAATCTCACAGCCGGCAGCACGGCCTGTTTGATGCAAAGAACAGCTTCACTCCTCTGCCATCCACCACGGCACAGGCTTGATGAATGAGGGGCTGCGTCTGCTGGAAGCGTTAGAGAGACACTGAAAGGAGAAGGCGGGAGGCAAAAGGAAAAACACCAAGCCCATTTCCCTGGAAGGAAATGTGTTTCCACCTCCCTCCTTGCAATTAGAAAAGCAAACCTCTGCCGTGGCTGCGCTGAGAAAGACAACTCCAGGGCGTTAAAAAAAAAAAAAAAAAAAAAACCATGGATTGCGGAGCCAACGTGGCCCAGCAGGAGAAATCGGGGTGCAGGGCAGAGACTGGGACTGCGGGGAGACCCGGGTACCCCAGGCGGTTCTACCTGTTGGGCTTCGGAGCCGAGCAGTGACTCCGGGCTGCGGCGCTCGAGGGCGCCCCTGCCTCCCCCAGTCCCAAACTTTCCTCTGCGCCCCTCGGTGCAAAGCGGTGAGCTGGGCCTTCTGCTGGGCCAGCACTCATTTCAGATGGGGAACTTTGCGTAAGCCACGGGGGACCCGAGGAAGGGGTTCGATCCCATAAGCCGGGGGACTCAGGAACCCAGGAGCAGGGCATGCAAACCGACGGTCAGCAAAACAACTGGTCAAAGTTCCCCCCAAACTGCGGTGATCGAGGCATGTTCCAGGAGCTCTGAGCCCCCAGCTTAGGGTCTTGAGAGTGTGGGGGGGGGCGAGGGGTAGGCCAGGCCCCAGGATACCAGCAGCAAGGTCACTGAGGCGCTGGACCCTAGGGTGTATTGCCAAGGGTCGGCGCCTGGTGGAGGGCAGGGCCAGCAACCCAACCGACCTCTCACCGCACCTGCTCAGCGCCGCCGGGCCCGAAGCACGTGGGAGCTGAGCCTGGGACTTCCCGGTCCCCAGCAGGGACTGAGCGAGCTCGCCGGGGCGTCACCATTGGCCCCTGAGCCCCCAACCAGGAAGAGGCAGCGCGCCCGGGCTCAGAGCGGCGGCTCCCGGTGCCTCTTTCATCCTCAGACCTGGGCAGGAGAGGGCCGGAGTTTCGTTCTCTCCAAAACAACCCCCGCAGCTTCCCACAGCCTCTACCTTTCCCTGCTACCTAGCAGACAGACAAGAGACACAAAGAAATAAAAAGGAAGATGGGGGTAGGTCACTACCGCCCCTAGCCACATCTTCTCCTGGAGCCAGGAAGAAGAGAAAGGAGCACACCTTCCCTCCTCCCCATCCCAACTCGGTGACTCGGGAGGATCCGGCAGCTAGGCGCCCCGAAGAGGCCGAGGGGAAAGAGGTAAGGTTGGAGGAGGCAGAAACCAGGCAGAGAGAGCGAGCGAGAACGAGCGAGAGAGCGAGGGAGAAGAAAATATCCAACAAAACCACGCTAACGCGCCCCCTACCTGGGTGCAACATACTTTGGAAATAGAAGATGACCAAGATAAAGGATCCCAAGCAAGTGGCCAGCACCATCCGGCAAATTCTGTTCACCCTCATCACTTCCAGGAGCGCCGGCTTCATGGCTTTGTCCTGGCTGCGGGAACCGGGGTGTCCGGGAGGCGCGCCCCGGGCGCAGGAGCGGGGACCCCGGCGCGCGGACCGGAGCCCGGGAGGTGCAAAGCAGAGCTGGGCAGGGCTCGGGGGAGAGGATCGGGCTTGGCTTCGCGGCGATCCTCGGAGCCCCCAGCCCGGGGCTGGGGTGTGGAAGGCGCCGGAGTTGGTCTGGAAGTGCCGGGATGCGTGGACCCGCCGGCCGCGCGCTCCAGCTGGTCCTCCTCGCCTCTCCGCGCTGCTCGGGCGCCGGCGGCCGCCGCTGCCTCCCCGCGGGCCGGGCGACTAGGGTGCGAGCGGTGATGGTGGTGCCGCGGCCGCTGGCGTGCGCTGGCCGCTGTGGCAGTTGGACGGCCCCCTCCCTCCTCTCCAAAGGCTACTTCATTGCGCTCCAATGATCTATATATTCCGGGGCTGGGTTTTACCAAATGCAACTCGCAGCCCCCGGCGAGGGGAGGGCGCCTACGGAGCGGGGGAGGGCGGGGCCGCGCCGGGGCGGAGCGTCGCCTCCCCCCGCCCCTACCCGGGACATGGTCGCGTCCAGCTGTTTCCCGGGGAGTCCAGAGTGCGCGCCGCTCTCCCGCAGGGTCCCAAAAGCCCTCAGTCCCCGGCCGGCCTCGGCCGCCGTCTGGAGGTTGTGTCAGCGTTTCCATGACAAAACCCGGAGGGGAAAAAAAATACGAATAAATCGCCTCGGTGCTGCCACCCACCCCCGCCAACGGGTGGAGAGGGAAGTGGCGGGGAGTGGCGTTAGGTGTCTGAGCGGGGAAAGGGGGCTCTGATGGCACGCGACGATTTAAAATCCCTTAGGCGACCTAGCAGGGAAGTTGCCCCAAGCCCCCAGGGAGATCCAAACTGGAAGGTTTCGTGTTTCTTTCCAACGACAGCCCAGTTTAAGGGTTGTTTTGCAACCCTCAAGGGTTAAAGAGGGCTGACTTAAAGTCAAGGTTAGGGAAACTGCACGCGACTTGGGGTCAGGCGACAGCTGGGCTTTCACACACACACACACACACCCCACCCCTGACTTATGCCGTCTCTGACATGCACCTCAACCCCGCCCTCCCCGAAAGGCAAAAGGGGCTTGTGGGCTTTAAAACTTTATTTCTCCCAGGGGTAGAGCTTTCTCCAGATTATCCAAAGTGCAAAAGAGTCTTAACCAGGCTGGCGTGGGAAGATGCCCCTGCAACATCCCAGACCAGGCTTAATATTGGCGGGTACACGGAAAGATGGCGCTGCTCTCCCGTGTTGTGTAAAGTGACTTAGCCATGCTTTCAAGTGATTTGACGATCAGTAAAGTAATGTTACTGTAAAGACTAACGCATGTCTTTTCTTTGACATTCTTGTACTACTGCCAACTCAGTTAATAACAGAATAAGACAGTGTCCCTTGCAAGGCCTCTTGCACAATAGCATTTGATAAATCAGTGTTGAATGGGAATGGAACGGGCCCGTTCCCCTCAGTTTATCAGAGACACGCAGCAAAAACTGCCTCTTGGACTTCAGATCCCTTCCCCCAAAGTTATCATCCGGCAGGGAAAGTAACAGTCAGCAGCCTTGCCGTTGATTACAGAAGACAATCAATTACAGCACAATATTTATGCAGCCGGTTTGTACTCTATTCATTTGTCCTCACTTGTGAATTAGCAGCTCGCTGAAGGCGACAGGCAGAGCCACTCTCCTCGGATTGCCCTGTAGGAGGTTGGGGGTGGGAGCTGCACCCAGAGTGCTTTCTCCACCACCAAGGCAGGGGGTCCTTCCTTGGGCTTGACTGGGTGAGTGCTTGCAGAAGGCCTTCACCTTGAATAATGGACTCTTATTTAATTCCTGGTTTTGCAGAGGAGGGAAGGGCAGGGATTCACACCCATGTCACCCCACTAGCCTGTCACTTCCCAGGGCAGAAGACCACACTGTACAAATGGACGAATATGGCAGTATGGAAGTCGCAGGGCCAAGGGAGAGGTCAGCAACCTAATTTCTTGTGGGATGAGGAGGATTGAGTTGGGCCATGCATCTGGCATCCATTTTTACATGTCCACAATCTGGGGTTGGCCCACATCCACAGTGAGAGGAAAGGCTCTTGCTGATAACCTACTACCTCTTGCAAGAAGTCTTCTCTGATTTCTCACCTGAAGTTGTCTCTTTCTTCCTCTGTGTTGTAAGCCCTACTAGGTCCAACCCCTCTTGGACCACTGTACCCAGAAGCAGAGCTCCTCCCTGCAGGACCAAGTTTCCTCATCTCTGTCTCTGTCTAATGCCCAGCATTATGGCTGTTGTTTGTGGGCAGAAAAGAACGAGGAAGTTAATTAGATCCTTTCTGAAGTACATGGTGGTGGCCAGTGGCAATGGTCTGTGATCCTGTTGTTCTCAACACATTGGAGGCAAGGGACAAGGTTCCATTCCTTGTCCCCAGGTCACTCAGTAAACTGACCAACCACAAGTAAAGTCACCACTTCCTTTCCATTCCTAGCCTAACACAACTTTGTCACCATCTTTGCCTGTGCTATGTAACAAACATTGACAAGATATAGGACACTGCTGATAACGCTGAGAAGAGAGGAGGTGATTTTATATTTTGAATGCTGAAGACAAAGGTAAGGAGAAAACTGCCTCTAAAACCAGGCTTTCTGATTTCGCAGTGTATCAGTCAGGACTAACAAAGTTATACTGCAATGGCAAAAGAGCCCTAACTCCAATGGCTTGAGGCAACCAGGTGACACCTCCGTCTACTACATGTCTACTGTGGGTGGGCAGAGGGACTGCACCTGGGGTGTTTTTCACAGATGGAGCAAAGTAGCCACCATCTGGAACAAAAAATGGTTGCATTGCTAGAGGCAGAGGGCACTGGGAGGTCTGCCCAGATAATTAAGCAGTCCACCCCTCAAGGGGCGCGTATGGTTTCTGGTCCTCATTTATCCACCAGATAAAGCATCACACCCAGGCCAGGAGATGTGATCGTCCCATGAGTGAGAAATGCTTGGGGAGCAGGCATCCTGCCTGCATGCCCTGGCACTCTTCAAACCTCATGTCCCTCACTGTTCTAAGTTCCCCTTTGCCCTGAGAGCCTCAGCAAGCTGGTACATGCTCATGGTTGATGCTGGCTTGATCAGCTTACTCTAAATCCAACAACATGCAAATGAACCTGGGGCCTGCCGGGCTAAAAGCCCCAGAGGGCATTAAAAATTTTGTTGAAGAGAAAGTCCGATTTATGTTGATGTTCCTGTAAAATGTATACAAGAGAAAGAAATCGATGCAAAACCCCAAATTCTGGCTTGCATGTGCCATCAGCATGAAGGGACAGATATTTATCTGGTCCCGCCAATCCCCATAGGCCGAGCTCTGCCGCACTCCTGTAGATTGTTAGGATCTTGCAGAACTGGCAGTCTTGCCCCTTTCTGCAATTTGCCGAAGAGAGAAATGGGCCTGGGGTGCGTGGTACACAGAGAGCTCTGTAGCATCCTGAGGGAGGAGGGGCGTTTGTCTTCTGCCAACATCAGCCAGGGCCCTGAGGACGGACTCTGTCCATTTGCATCTGTCGGGCACCTCTAGCACAAAGTATACTCAGTTAGGCAGCACACAGTCAATATTTGTGGAGTTGAATTAAAAACCATTTGCCTACAGCCTGCGGAAATCTTAGGTACAAATTTTCTACAGCTAGGTAAACCACAGATACACAAGTGGGTCACTCATGACATGACACTGAGAGCTCACTCTTCCTCCGGGACTTTTCAGAACAAGTGGGGAGGGAAGAAGAGGTAGAGAAAGAGAGGGAGGAAGAAGAGAGAAAGGGGGAGGGAGTAAGCTGGAGGGAAGGCAATGGAGAGGAGGAGGGAGGAAAGAAGAGAAGAGAATAATAGAAGGAGGAGAGGAGGGAGGAAAGCAGTGCCCATGATTAGTCCGTGTCAGTCTAATGCCACCTTTGCTCCTCCCCCAGCTTAGCTCCAGGGACTCCTCTCCCTCTCTTGCTGTTGGACCCTTGAGTGCCCCAAGTCCACTCCATGTGCCCCACCTTCATGCACAGTCCAGAAATCCCTCCCAGAACTGCTCATCCATCATCGCTGAGCTGAAAGTATTTCATGCCTGGCGGCCCCTGGTCCACTCCTGAACTCCATCCAGACACTCAGAAACTCCAGCTCCATTCTAGTGTGAGCCACCACTCTCCCAACCAGACCATGCTTCAAGCACTTCATGCATGTCCCCTCATCACAAACCTCCCGAAGGGGGCCATTCTCCTCCTTTTATAGAGAAGGCAACCGAAGCAGAGAAAGGCAGTGTCACGACCCAGAGGCACAGCACTGGTGTTAGCAAATCCAGCGTCGCAAAGCTAGACGCCAGGCAGCACCAGTGACTCCAGGGTCCCTGACTCTTGGCCTCCAGTGGTGGCTCAGGAAGACCAGGGGGGCCTGAGGACAGTCACTTCACCTCTGTAAGCCCACTGCTTACGCTTAGCAGTGTCTGTCACACAACAGCAAGTGTGTTCTGTGAGCACTGCTCAAAGGTGAAAAGGACTTAAATTTAATACGTGTAATAGATGAGGTCCACCTCTGAAACCAAGATGCCACAGCTGCCTCTGGACATGGGGAGGACGACGAGGCAGACATGGCACACGGTGGCTGTGTGGCCCTTCACTGTGTTTTCTTTCCCCCTGTCAACCCCTCTGCACAGGCCCTCGGACCCTCTAGCAGATCTGTCCTTCCAGGACCACTGCTGCTCCAGGGTGATGCCATTAGCATTTCTTTGACATTCATGGCACGGTAATTCAGTTCCTTCTCCTACTTTCCCTCTCTACTCCCCAACAGAGCAGTAGGCTTTGTGCCTCCTCACCTGAGGGATTCAGTAAGGGCATTCTATGGAAGAGATCGTGCCAGGGCAGGAAGGTAGACTTTCAAGGATTTGTGGGGGTGAGCCTGAATGTCCTCCACTCTTGACCCTGGGAGGCAGCTGCTACTCACGGATGCCAAGGGAAGCCAGAACCTGGAACGGAGGCTCCAACATCCCCAGAGATCCCAGTTCCTAAACCTGGCTCAAAAGTTGCAGAAACACTGTCCCAAGAGACCCTCAAAGAGAGAAAGAACAGAGGCCTTGGGGTGACCAAGAGAACCTCCCAGGATTTGAAGTTGACACCAAATTGAGATACTGAGAAATTCTGAGCGCTGGAAACCTTATGATGTTCCATTCTCATGTGCAGTTCCAAATATAAATAACACAGTCAAAAGAATACATACAGCAGGGCATGGTGGTTCATGCCTGTAATCCCAGCTAGTCAGGAGGTGGACTGGTGGACTCATGAGGATCAAGACTGGGACAAAGTCAGTGAGAATCTGTCTCAAAAACAAATACAGATTGGAGGGGGGTGGGGGTTGGTGGCTCAAGTGAATATGGTTGATGTACTTCCTATACAAGAATGAATATAGAGCCAGGAGCCGATGGTTCATGCTTGTAATCCCAGCTACTCAGGAGGCAGATAT